TAGGTAGAGTGCCAACTATTAGCTTTCTTAAAGGATCATCCTTTTTTAGTCTTTTTATCCTTTCAATGTTTATATGATCAAGTCCTAAATGCCACGCATATGTGTCATGTTTATTAGAAATCTTTCTTCTTTTTAGGGTTGGTTCAGCGACTTTAAACATTTCAGTTTGCAATAAGATATAAAACAAATGTATAACAAAATATAAACCATCATTAACATAGATCATATCAAAATACCATTCCTAAAAATTGAAACTGCTTTAACATCAAAAGAAATGGAAATAGATCGTTCAAGCAATTTGGAAACTAAATCAAATTTCATTTAACCCCGATTTATAATAAATATTTTCTAACAATAAAAAATTATTCTCTGGAAAAGATAGTCGAACTGTTCTTACAGCTGTCGCATCAACTTTGGCATTATTTCCAACTCTCATTTGGAAAACTCCATCTTCAAGATCCCTGACACTTCCAACATCTTCAAAAAAGTTCAAACATGATTAAATGTCCCTGTATCAACTATCCCGTTTGAGAAATTTTTCTCGACCAAGCATGTTTCCATGACTAGTAAATCTGATTTGCCTTTCTTCTTCTTCTTCACTCATTGAGATACTTCTTACTGTTCCTCATCCAATGGCCATCCTACTTTCAATGGAAACACTTTCCTTTAGGATTGGCCTGAACAGTATTTGCCCTTTTCTTTTGGATCTTCTTTTTGCCTTTCTGTGGTCCCACATTTCTCTTCTTCTTTTTCTTTAAAGAAGATGGATTTTCTTGAATCACATTGGCTTCAGCAACATTTGTTGCTGTCCCTATCCTCTATAAAGGTTCTGAACTGGAGAAATGTGGGAGGAAGTGTCTCTAGAATCATGCCCACTAGGGTCTTGTCATCAATTTTCGCACCATTGATCTTAGCCTCATTCAGATGATTGATCATTTTGAGGACATGCACACGAACTGAACAACCATTCGTCATCTTGCCATTCATAATGACTTTCACCGCAACATGACGGGCTTGATCAGAGAAACGTCCAAATATTTTTTGAAGAGAGTTAGTAACCTTTCTTGTACTTTCAAAG